CCACAGCAATGCATTATTACCTTCAGGCTGGGACTGTTTGTTCGGATTTCTTCACAAAACCAGTTCCTCCAGATGTCTACACTGACCAGGTGATTAACATATAATGAATACTTTTGTTTTATTTTTGATTTTGCCTTCTATGTATTGACATGACTGACTTAAGCTAAGTGATTCCCTGCAGGTTCTGAAGAGAATGATCAAGTGTTGCTCATTGTTGAACTGTCACACTCAGGTAACACAATGTATGGTGTATAGTCTTGACTCATGAGTCACATTTTAGTGCCTTTACACTCACTATGCTATATGACTGTAGTAAAACACTAAGCAAGGGACCAAAACTCCAATTGTTGTCTAGGTGCCTGTCTTTCTGTCTGTCTGTCTGTCTGTCTGTCTGTCTGTCTGTCTGTCTGTCAGTCAGTGTGTGTGTGTGTGTGTGTGTGTGTGTGTGTGTGTGTGTGTGTTTGTGTGTGTGTGTGTGTGTGTGTGTATGTGTGTGAAGTTAATGATTAATCCAGGTAGGCTACATTGACTGATCGCTCGTCTTTCCTACAATGTATAAACTTATTGTATGTTATACTTTTATATTATCGATTATTAAAACTGATATTCAGCAGAAGAGAGGGTGCGTTTCGTATTTTCACTGACATTGAAAGGAGGCAGTTGTTATAGGCTCCGTTTTGTTATAAATATCCACACAGTGAAGATGACGCTCATATATGCAGCACGACGCCTCAACATTTTTGCTGTCTGTTAAGTTGCTAATATTAAAAAGAAAATAGGCAGTTCCTTAAATCATGTTTACATTTTATTGTTGAGAAAGTGAAACAACGTAGCCAAGGTGATGTGAATGAAGTTATAAAGTACACTGTTCCCTTTGAAGATTTACCCGTGTCCTCGGTATGTTTTCCATATCAAACTGAGAAGGGGGAGACTGCAGCCTTGATCAAACTTGCGAAGTCTTAACTTACAAGAAGAGGATGCGAGACTGAACTGTGTGTGGGCTACTTAATATTGAGGAAAAGCCCCAATCAGATAGGCGAACGTTTGCAGCCCCGCGTCCGTTTTCAGATGTCTCCGTCTTTCCCCATCCACACTGAGATGGAGTAGCAGCGTTTCAGAATGAAAATGGCCTCTCCAGCGTTTTCAAAAAGCTCAGTTTTCGGCGCTCGAGAACTCCGGCGTAGTGTGGACGGATGGCGTAACCGTAGCAAAACTTATGCGTTTTTAAACTAAAACGCACTAGTGTAAACGGGGCCTTAGTGCACCAGTCTACCAGATGCAGGGAGTCGACACAAATAAAAGCAATAAAATGTAACCTACTAATCTAGCATGAGTAATTTAAATAAACTGATGTAAATAAAAATGCATAAACCTCTGAATGTGTTCATTTTGAAATGAGAAGTGTCTTGAAAAAGGTGCTTTTCAGCAATTTTTATGAGCTTTTAGTAAAATTTTATAAAATGGTTTAATTCATATTTTTATTTAATTGTGTGCAATTTTAAGTAGATCTTGTTAAATGTGATCTTCAAATGAGAGCTAGCACGGTTCTTGAGCAAGGTTCTTTGCATTTTGTATGTCCTATTATTATTATGATCTGCTTAAGCTTATTATATACATTTTAATAACCTTCAACTCCACTCAATTCTTCTCTGGGGAAAATTATTTAAATCATAAACTAATTTTTTCGTGAAAAAAATATGTGAATTTTTTTATTTTTATTTTTATTTTTTTTAAAGCCCATATCGCCCAACTCTAATGTAATTGTATGTGCTCAGGTGGCTGTACTCTGCCAGTTTTTAAGGGAAGTGGACTACATGACTGCATTCAAAGCTCTACAAGAACAAAACAGGTGAAATTGCAATGCATGTTTTTAAACATATTTGGCTACTGTGTTAAAAAAAAAGTTACATTTATTAATTTTTTTTTTTTTTTATCAGCCATGACTCAATGGATTCTTTCTACGACTACATCTGGGATGTGACAATTCTGGAATACCTCACATGTATCCTAAAAATAACTTAATTTCAGAAAAAAAATAATCTTATCATGATTTATCAGTCTACAATGTGCTTGCGTTTTTATCATTTTAGGAAAGGAAAAACATTTTTACCACCGTGTCTGATGTTCATTGTTCAACCTTAAATTTTGTCTTCAGACATTCACCATAAACGAGGAGAGAGTGACAAAAGACAAGTTGCAGTAAGCTGATTTGTTTTCTCTCTTTAACGGAGACATTCTGTGAGTCTCTGTAGCAGTGTTTTTCAAATGGTGGGATGGTTTAATTATGTCAAAGGTTTTTTTTAAATAGGTTGTGGAGTGTTTTTGCTATGCACGGCTTTAACTCTATATGACTTGAAAGCTTATGTCTGACATGGTTCATATGCCTGTGAAAACCCATCGCTTGAAAGACTTTACAGAATGTGCCAGTCATGAAAGTCTGGTGCAACAGAAGTGTGGAAAGCAGTAAAATTTGAGCGGGTTCACTGGCTCTAGAGAGGTAGTTCACAGTTGGTGCTCACGAACAGTATGTTGGCATTCGTAGATCAGTTTAATACAAATATCACTTAAAAAAAACTATCCACTAAAAAGTAACTCCACCAGACCTTACCAAACAAGCCAGAGGCAACATTGGCAAGGTACCAAAATTTCACAAGGGAAGTGAGGAACAAACCTTTTGAGAAATCAGATTCATTGTAGTGTACCAGTTCTAATTTGGCCAAACCTAAAGTGCGAATGTTCAGACTAGCCATCAGTATCAGTGCATATATCTGTTGCTGGCCCCTATGTAGAAATTGGTCTAGTGCTCTTTGCTAGTGCTCACCCGCAAAAATAATTAGTTTTTAATAGAAATGATTGTTTAAAAGAATTGAGTGCCTAATTACCCTGATCGGCCTAGTTAACCAAATTAACCTAGTTGAGCCTTTAAATGTCACTTTAAGCTGTATAGAAGTGTTTCGAAAAATATCTAGTAAAATATTATTTACGGGCGAAGCAGTGGCGCAGTAGGTAGTGCTGTCACAGCAAGAAGGTTGCTGGGTTGCTGATTCGAGCCTCGGCTCAGTTGCCTTTTCTGTGTGGAGTTTGCATGTTCTCCCTGCGTTCGCGCGGGTTTCCTCCGGGTGCTCCGGTTTCCCCCACAGTCTAAAGACATGCGGTACAGGTGTAATGGGCTCTATGCACGGCGGCGCGTGACGCATTTCCGGTAAAATTTAAGACCCCGAGCCAACTTCCGCCGACAGTGCTACAACAGGAGCGCTACTGATAATAACAAGTAATGTTTTGGACAGTTGTCTTAATGTTTTATGCCATTATAGCCCACTTATATATGTTTATGTCAGCTACATAAATATGACATCTAAACGTTTAAAAGTGTCATTTCAAAGACGAGAGAACAGTACTTTTAGCTACCACTGCTGTGTTCAGCAACGCACAGTGACAGAAATTGAACTTTTACCTTAGTTTCCACACGTTTCCAAAAGACAAAGTCGTGCAGAAGAGGTGGGTTGTTGCTATTAAACGTGAGAATTTTACAGAAACAGAAAAAGACAAGAGTGTAGCTGACATTTTCAGTCTAGCAAACTGATCGAGGCTCGAGTGCCAACCGGATGCAGACATTTAAAGAAAGGAGCTTTTATGTCAAATAATAGTTTGTTTTCATTGCCTTTGAAGTAAAAAAAACAGAACATTAATATACATAAACATTTCTTAAGCTACTTTCTAAGTGCAATTTTTTTATTCAGAAAAAATACCTTTATTTTATTCACTGTACATATAAAATATAATTCACTGTATATAATTTGAAATAAAAATTGTCAAAAAAATGTAACATTTTGAAAAAATATTTTATTCAAATGAACAGAAACAATAACATTGAATCAGTTGTTTTCTTGAATCAGGTACTTCTTCTGTAACTTGTGCATAGAGAGGTATTTGGGCTGATGCGTATTAAATAAATAAATAAATCACCCCTCTGATTCATGGAACTTAACACATAATTGATCCATTCCAGACAATTTTTCATGTGACAACACACATTACACATTTCAGAGTAATGGGCTTTCTGGAAAAGTAAAGCAACCAAATGTTTGCATATCCCATGAGCTATTGAGCTATGAGCTATTAACTAGCAGACGATGGCATGGATTTTCTGACGGATGTCCTCTCCAGGATGGAGTAACACACAAAATTTTCTAGCTCTGAATCTCATAATGTTACCTAGAAAAAAGAAACAAGAATATTAATAGGTTTTTAAATAGTCATTAAAGGCAGTTCACTCAAAACTGAAAATTCTATTTCCTTCACTTGTTCCAAACCTGTTAGAGTTTGTTTCTGATGTTTAACACAAACAAAAATACTTTGAAGAAAGCTGGAAACTTGCAACAACTGATATTCATAGTAGTTCTTTTTCCTACTATGGAAGTCGATCGTTACAGGTTTTCAGCCTTCTTCAAAATACCTTCTTTTGAAAGGCATCTGCAGCAATATCATCAGATTAAACTACACTGTAAATCATTATTTTAAATCTTTTAAAAGTATCTCCCTTTAGTCATACTTTAAAATAAGGGTCCATTAGTTAATGTATTTGCTCACTATTAAAAGAACTATTTAATATTTAATAGTTAGCATTGTTAAACTAATTTACTAATGAATAAAAATCCAAAGTCATGCTTGTTAACAAGCACAATGAATAAGCATTTGTTCATTAAGGTAAAAAACTAACAAATATTGCAATAGACAAATTGTTGGTGTGAAATTAACTAATGACACCTTATTGTTTTGGGTCACCCTCCCATTTAATTACAATGTTACAAACAGCAATGACACAGTGCTATTTGTCTGTTGTGGATGGAACGGCATTGTATTATTTTATTCCTAATATATCTTGCTCAATAATCATGCTTACAAGCTAAGACAGCATCTGTGTTTCTGTAATTATCCGAACTGAACAGTGGTGGTCACTTTAGAACAGTAAAAATATGAATGGGACAGAGCTTCACATGTATGCTGTCCTACTCTCAGCTGGTGAGGAGACTCAGATTTCTTCATAGATCGTTTGGTAGTAATGAGCTCTCACTGAGATCTTATTCCTGCCCTGTTTTTACCTGATACTTTGAGACAGAATTACGTACACATACGATCATTTTTACTTGCGTGATAAAGTTGCAGATGGACAGATCGTAAGAATAGTATTAACGTTAGCCTACAGGCTAGCTGAACTTACCTTCATAATTGCACAGGTAGGAAGATGCATAAAACTTGAAACATTTCTCAAGTTTGCTCTGCGGTGTTGTAGTGCACATCCGGACAATCCTTTTCACATCGTTGACCATAACTTACTCGCAAACAGTGAGTAAATATTGACGACTCTGCCATAATACTGTTTACCTCCGCTTAAAATTTCCGGACCGAAAGCTGGACCGCGGCCTTAGACAAAACGCGGAAGTAATGCGTGCATATAGCCCATTGGTTGGCTAAATTGTCTGTATTGTACGTGTGTGTGTGTGTGAATGTGTGTGTGAATGTTTCCCAGAGATAAGTTGTGGCTGGTTTCTCCTGTTTCTCATCCAAATTTCAATGAAATTTTCCAATAATTGGCAGGACACTGTCGACACTGTGATGAAAACCTTGGAAGCATGCCCTGGTTAACCCTGAGCAAATATCTTAAACTCTGTTACATTTAACCCTGCGTTTCTTTGTGCCCCGCGCTCCCCTACTTAAGGTGTATTATTATTTGTAACACTAGTTACACTAGTGCACTTAAGTTGCACTTATTGCAGATTTTATGTTTGTAACAGTGGAAAAATTTATATCTAAGCAATGTAACTTGAGGCACGGCCATTACAAAGGAAAATGATTTAGGTCACTATATAGAAATTAATTAATTGTTGTAAATCTTTTTGAACTCAGATCAAGGCCATTGGACGGAATGAGTTAAACTCCAGTAATCCAGAGGAAGTCATGCAGCTCGCCGCACAAAAGAGGAAAAAGAGATTCCTACAGGCAATGGCTAAACTATATTTTTAATTCAGGCCAAAAGAATGCTTTTTTGTGAATAAATGTTTTGTTTGTTTTTTACTGAATCTTTTCTTTTTTCATGAAACTTTATTAAAATAAATAAACCCAATCAAATTCAAATAAATGTCTTGTATTATTACTATTTTTACAATTTTTGTTTTTTTTACAATTTGATACTTTTGGTAATAGTGAAATTGGTAAAAAAAAAAAAAAAACTAAAATATTTGGTAACACTTTATAATACCTACACACTATGAACCATTTATTATGCATTAGCAAAAAGTGAATTTATTATCTCTTTAGCATTAACTCTGCGTTAATAAACGTTAGTAATTAGTTTATGACTGCAGCTACAAATGCTGTATTTTTGACTTATAACCATTTATAATGTGCTTAATAATTGTGTTTTCATACTTTGTGTTATTTAAGCATAGTTGTTTGTTTTTTAGGATCATTGAGAATGAGTTAGTAAATGATTAATAAATTGATGAAAAAAATATTCAAATTAACGTTTATAATTCTTATTATTCAGACATATACTAATAGCTCATTTGTATGTTAATAAATGCTTTATTAACTCAACTTCATGCAGTTTTGTGGCCTAATCTAAAGTGAGGACTGTTAATGCTTTATAAATACATAATAGACCATAAATGGCATTATTCATTCCTATTCATTTGGAGATACACAAATAAAACTGTATTTAAAATAAAAAATAAATCTTTGCAACCTTATCTAAAATAAAATGACTGTACAGTTTAAACATGGCATCCTTATATATTGTTAAATTATTATATTGTTGTGGTTTTATCCAATGTTTTGTTGTATTTTGACACTCCTGTTATATGGCAATTTTTAAACTTTACAGTCATTTTGCTTTTTAGATGAGATTGCAAAGATTATTGTTAATTTGATACCAAGCCTTTAATTGTCATGCTGTGGGAATGTTTTTCAGCAGCAGGAACTGGAATACTGGTATAGTCTATAGGGAAAGATGAATGCAGCAATGTACAGAGACATCCTAAGGGAAAACCTACTTCAGAGTTCTCTTGACCTCAGGCTGGGGCAACGGTTCGTCTTTCAGCAGGACAATGACCCAAAGCACACTGCCAAAATATAAAAAAAATATATACGATAAAATATGAAGTGCCTTCACAACAACTCTGTGAATGTCCTTAAGAGCCCAGACCTAAATCCTATTGAACATCTCTGGAGAGATCTGAAAATGGCTGTACACAGTTGGTTCCCAATCTGATAAAGCTTGAGAGGTACTGCAAAGAGCAAAGGGCAAAAATTCTCAAAGACAGGTGTGCCAAGCTTGAGGCATATTTTTAAAGACTTAGGGCTGTATTTGCTCCCAAAGACATCAACAAAGTATTGAGCAAAGGCTGTGAATACTTATGTACATGTGATTTTTCACATTGTCATTATGGGGTGGGAAATGCATGAATGGAAAATAGATTTTTATTCAACTAAAGAAAAATCACAAAATTTAAAACAATTTAGGTGCTTTTTAAATCAACTTGTAATGAATGTTATTGTACATTTATTTTAATGAATTGTGCCATAAAGGACATGCAAACACTGCTAAATATTTAGCTATTAACTCTTCTGACTGGCTTCTTCCCTGTACAATTTCACATGAGAATCAATTTTTTTTTTTTTTATGTAATCATGTAATTTTTTTAAGTCTTTAACAGTTTCTCTTTAATTCAGCCACAGCTTCTGTTTTTTTCCAGACAACATAAACGTGTGTTCATTTATGATAATAATGACGTCGTGTATGTAATGTGAGATTAGAGACAACGGCTGCACACACTCACAGCTGCATAACGTGACATTGGTGCTGAACTTTTTCCACAATGTGAAAGTGGTACTTTTTTTTCAATAAAATTAGTTAAACGCCTTAAAATGTAGTTTCATCCATATTATACTTTTTTTTTTCTTTCAAGCTACTTCAAAAAGTTTGCTGCATGCTTGCCACCTATAAAACAACAATAAAATGCTATAAATAAAAATATTGTTTTGTTAAAATTAATTATAGGCTTAAGTTATTGATATACAAAAATATATATATTTTATTAGTATTGTTAATGCAGTGTGAGGGTTATGTAAAAAATTGTATTATTATTATTTTAATAATGATATTTTGAAGTTATTCGTTGTATGTATAATTAACAGAGTTAAAGATGGTCATTAGTTTTGTTGTGTTTTTTTTTTTGTTTGTTTTTGTTTATTCTGTACTATAAAATTGCTCTTATTCTGTGTGCTATTAAAAAGTCTTAAATATAACTCTTAGAAACCTGCAGATATCCAATTTACAAATGTTGACCTTAAAGTTAAACATTTTCTTTCCATTTGACGTGCAGCAGTATTAAATTCCACTAAAACAATTCCTGACTCTCCCATCAGTCCTTAAGGACTTGCAGTGGCATGATTGAAATGTTGCTGCTGAGTGAAAATTAAAAAATGAAACACCAGAAATTACATGACACTCTGGAGAAAACATTGAATAGGATGGTGATGTAATGATATTAATCAATATCTGAGGTATAACATGTAAACTGGGAACATTAATGGAACATTCTAAAACCAACTCTTATAAACACCTTAATCATGTTGTTGTCTTATTCAGATTATGGTAAATTATTTGATTATGGATGCCCATGTAAATGTAGTCAGTGATAAAATTATTTTTTTTAAAAAGTCCACACTGATGACCTAGATATTCAAAGAGTTTGTAATGAATTTGTAAAGTAGGTTTGAGGACAGAAATTAAGTTTATTTTTAGAGGTTTAGCGAATGCGGTTAATGTTTTTACCCAAAGGACATACAGTGTATACAGAGTTCTAGCACAACACAAGGGTTAAAAATGCAATTTTTGCACATTTTCTAATAAAATAAAGGCAAAATATATAAAGGCTAGCATTGCCTACTGATCCTGACTTTACACAATGACTAAAAGAAGATGAGTGCAAAATTCTTGCTGATGTCTCTCAGACCTCCTGGCAAGGTGCAAACTTGAAACTAACTTGAGGCTTTGTATAGTTTGTGTGTGTGTTAAATTGCATATACACTTATTCAGTAATTGTCCACTTTACCTCTGCCAGTTAAGGTCACTCTGTATCCTGGTTAATGGAATGTTGATGACACTGTGGAGATGGTCTTGTGCGTCACAGGGATGTTTTAACCAATTAACAAACAGCTGTTTTGTCATAGAACACATTCACTTCTAGTCTGTGTGGAGTATTTAAAGAAGCTGGATGTAGATCGCTGATGGATAGAGTTTCAGAACACTCTGTACAGTAAGTATTAAAAAGGCCTTAATATTTAAACAAAAATGGTCAGTTCAGGGTGATGTTTTCTCTCAACTTTAAATTATTCCTTAAATTTCAGATGAAAATCCAGGTTTTTCATCTTTCGTCCACTCTTCAGACCACAGTCTTCTTCTTGTTGGTGCTACTGGTTCATCCTCCCAGAAGTCTAATGCTGCCACACCAACCAATGGTTTACCTGCCTAGGCTGTACAACCCTGAATGGGAAGCAGCAATGCTCCGGCTTCAGGCTTCACTAGGGGCTCCAGGTGGCAGACCAGTGGCCGATCTCCAGCCCTGGGCTTTGTTTCAGGACCTGGGATCTGAGGAGCTTTTGGATAGAGTAAATGAAATACTAGAAAGGCAACAGAGGGACATAGTAAAGGGCCAGAAAAGAGAGGAGTTGGAACGGAGACCCATGGGGACATTCCCAGACAACCATATAATGCCTTTGCTCTACCCACAGGGCGGTGAGGCTGAAGAAGTAGGTGGAGAGAAACGGAATGAGGCACTCACTTCCATTGCAGGAGGTTTGCAAGCCTTCAACAGACAGAAAGGTGGATTTGGCTTTCGATTTGGCAGGAAGTAAAGTGGTGGCAGGAGCATGTATGTACATGCTTGTGTGTGTGTGTGTGTGTGTGTGTGTGTGTGTGTATGTATGTATGTGTGTGTGTTTGTATGTATGTATGTATGTTTATATATGTATATATATATATATATATATATATATATATATATATATATATATATATATATATATATATATATATATATATATATATATAATGGTATATTATATATAAGTTTTAGTATATAATTCTGCAATGTAAGTGTAGGGTCGTAGTAGTTGGTTAGAGCACTTGAAAAGTCAATCATGTAAATCGGAGAATTACTGACATTGTTTATTTTATTGGGAAAATGCCTGAAAGTTATTAAAAATTGTTAAGAAATAATTTGCAGTCCTATCTTAATTTTCTCATATAAAGTTATGTTTAGTGTATGTACAGTATACTGACTTGAACCATACTTTTTGAAATGTATTTAGTTTATGGTAGCTTGTACATAAATAATTAAAAATGATTGAATTGGTTGCTCTGCTGTGAAAAAAAAATCAGTTTACTGTTATATAAATTTTTGGATTATTATTTCCAGTAGTAAGTAGGTAAAAATATGAAATTAATTCCACACATAAATTTGTTTTATGCATATGTAGGCCAACATAATTTACACTCAGTTGGCTTTAAGTTAATATCCGGTTCTAGATGTCAAATTGATGTCATATTGACATCCTATTGACATTATTAAATGTTTATAAATTTATCATGAGCTTGATTGTTTAAAATCCTTTTAAACCATGTGTAGCCACTAGATATGTGTGTAATACACATAAAATGCTGTAGGAGAATTCAATATTTAAATGAAATGACAACAGATTGCTATATACATTTACTGATTTACAACATTGAACTAATTTCAATTTAAAAATTTTCAAATGACATTTTTACTCTTATTTCATAAAGTATTGTTTTTATTTAAAATTACCAAAATGTAGTTTTTCCAGTCTTTATATGTTAAAAAACATTTCACCTTTACACATGTATTCTAGTAATGTATTGTAAGTAGTATTATCATTATTATTATATTTCAAAATATTCTATGCTTTATGATCTTTTTTTTTTTTTTTTTTTGCTGTTTAATGCCAAACCTGTAGATGGCGCTAAGATATTTGATTGGTGGTGTACTTGTTCTGTCAATGAAGTTAGCAAAGAGGACAATAAGGTATATGCCGAAGCATGCTAATAGGCCCTTTAATTTGCCAGTAAACCTTGGTTAATCATTTCCGGTGAATTGTATGCCAATGCAAAATCGGCGCGTTTAAGGTCTGTTTTCTTTAAAAATCAATGATCTCCACTGGCTGAGTGATATCCAATATAAAGTGGATCTCAGACTGTGCAAGAAGTACTGCATTAAATTACATTTCCCCCACCATGTCTTTAAAATATTAGCATTTATTTTACCCCAGTATATTCAACGGAGCTTCTGCGCTAGTCTGCCGATTCTGACGGGCGTGTACAAGCAAACAGCTTTTTGTCTCGTTTTACGCTTGAACAACTAAGGGTGCTTTCACACCTGTGAATCGATTCAGTTGTTCCGAAACAGAGATTAAAATTGTTACATTGTTGCTCTTTGCTCTTGGAGCGGTTCGCTTTCACACTGCAAAGTTTCTAATCGGACCAAAAGAGCTAAAACAAGTCACGTGCGAGTAAACTCTCCTTACATTGGTCAGAGTGTCAGGGTTTATTTTGCAGCGTCCCGCTCAGCTGTCAGGAGAGGTGGTGGTTTGGTGGTGATTGACAGGGTGCAAGCGCGCGTGACGTGTCTGAGGAGAGATGCGGTGGGGAGGGGTGAGAAGGGTGCGCGACGATGCCTATTTGAGGACTGGGAGAGAGACGCGAGATTAGCGGGAGATCATCACTCGTTTGCGGGCATCCGGAGACTCGCGAAACTTCCCGCCCTACTCCTAATTCTCTCTTCATATAGCCGTAAGCCTATTACATATCCATAAAACACTGTGATATAACCGCGCTCGGATCAGATCGCTTTCTCACTGCAATCGAACCGCTCCAGGGTTCGTTTCAATCGAGCCGAGACCACCTCATTCAAGCGATCTCGGAGCGATTACTTTGGCGCGGAACAGAGCGCGATTGCCCTGTTCACATATGCCAATCGAACCGCGCTAACTGGGCAAACGAGACACGTTCCGAAACAAAAGTGTAGGTGTGAAAGCACCCTAAATCACAGGTGTCAAACTCAGTTCCAAAAGGGCCGCAGCTCTGCACAGTTTAGTTCCAACCCTAATTGAACACACCTGATCAAACTAATTGAGTCCTTCAGGCTTGTTTGAAACCTGCAGGTAAGTGTGTAGGAGCAGGGATGGAACTAAACTGTGCAGGACTTCGGCCCTCCAGGAATTGAGTTTGACACCCCTGAACTAAATGAATGCCAAAGTCTTTTTTATTTGATTTTATTTGAATTACATTACAACATCGTTGCTGTAAAAGGAACTGTATAAAATGAAAATAAAAAACTCACAATAACAGGTCACCGGAAGTTTATCAGTATGGGAAAGACACTTGCTCGGCATATACCCCATTTAAACACATGCTGCAATGTTTTAACAGGTGGGTAAACGTGTTTACCTAATAATTATTTATATGTGTTTATCCAATTAAATGTTTAAAATTTGAGGAACTTGGATAATGTGATAGTTGGATTATGTGATAGTGTTTCTGACAGTGAAAGCTAGTGTAAAATGTTATGAAGCTGGCTGAACAATTTCAGTCTTTTAACTAAGCATTGCAAACATTAATTTTGTCACAGAAGTACTAGAATTCCAGTTCCTTGCTGGGACACGTAATTAGTTAATCTTGTCTTGTTGTGTCCTTAACAAGTAGTTTATAACATAATGATAGCTTAGCAGATCATTTGCTAATGAATAATTAAAGTAGTCATCTGGCAGTTGAAATTTACATTGGGTAAAAAAAAAGTGAAAATCATACTCGGCAGAACCCTTTCACATAATCCAAAAACCTTTGAAGGTTCTTCTAAGAGCTAGAGAACATTTACACATGCTCACTCCCCCCACACCGGTACGGTGAAACACTTGAAACAAAAGGTAAGTTAATAAGGCACTAATTCAGGCACACTGTCCCCAACTTCTAGGAGAGAAGACAAAACAAATTTACCAAACATACTAAACAACTCCAACAAAAAAATTATAATTACCATCAAACTGAATGCAATCACAAAAAAGAAAAAAAAGAAAATTATAAAGAAAAAAATAAATTTGTTGAAATAAGATCATTTGTTCATTAATCATTCAGGCAAACAAAGTATTTAAATCATTCACAGAATTATTGAGGCATGAATAGTTGAGAAAAGTAGGCATTAAAATTGTTAACTGGATCATTGAGAAACATTACTCATTCATACACACAGCGTTGAGTTAAACAGAAGCTAAGGGCCTACTCACTGTATGCTATCCGAACCGTGCCCGGGTCCGTTTCCCGGATCGTTTGAGAAATGTGAGTGCTCTGAATCGGGCTCAGGCATGATTCACTTGACCGGTCCTGGTCCGGTTGGAAGAGGTGTGCCAGCGCGCAGTTCACTTGGGCTTTGGCGCAATACACTTATAGGCCGTACGCACACTAACCGACTGAACCAAGCCAAAGCACACTTGTCCCCCCTCCCGTCTCCCCTGACGGCCCGCAGTCACACTCAGGCCTGGGCACGCTTACGTCATCGACGCTGTGCTGTTCAGTAAGTGCTCTCGCTCAGCACAGTGGAGATTTCTTCAGTTATATCGGTTGTCATTTAATATGCATTGATACGCATTCAAATATTTAGCCGAAAAGATCCGCCACTTGATGCTCATAAACAATCAAAGTCCTCGTGCTGCAGGAATTAGGAGGTTTACTGAAGGTGCGCAGCTGTCGTGCAGTGAGGGGTTTCATGTTTAATAAACAACAACAGTTTGCGTTCACTGAACAGTAAGAATGATTACATAATCCATATTAAACGGTTTCTTAAGTCACTTCTTGCTTTTAGTTTTGGGTTTAGGCGCATTTTGCACTCACATACAAGCACACCACGCCAAAGCCCAAGTGAATACACCTCTTCCAACCAGCTCAGGGCCGGCCAAGTGAACCGTGCCTGAGCCCAATTCAGAGCACTCACACTTCTCAAGCGATCCGGGAAACGGGCCTGGGCACGGTTCGGATAGCATAGTGTGAGTATGCCCATAGTGTGAGTGCAAAGCGTGCCACAGCCCGAAACTGAAGACAAGATGTGACTTTTACGGGGATTGTTTCAGATGGATTTATTAATCATTTTTACTGTTCAATAAACACAAACTGTTGTAGTTTATTAAAGACGCAAACCCCTCACTGCACGACAGCTGCACCTTCAGCAAACCTCCTAATTCCTGCTGCTCAAGGAATTTATGGTTGTTTATGAGCTTCAAAAGTGGCTGATCTGTTCGGCGAAATATTTGACTGTGTTGCTGCATATCAAACGACTAAACCAAAATAATTAAAGAAATCTCTGTGCTGAGCGAAAGAGCTTACTGAATAGAGTGGAGGAACTATGACGTCAATGACAATTTGTATGCAAAAACCCGGAAGCGAGTTAGCATTTTAGCAGTTCCGGTTCCCTCGTCCCAAAGTCAATGGGTTTTTTCAATGGAGTTTCAGTAAAATCGCTTAAATAAGGTTCGTGGCAAACACAAACTCAAAATACTTTCACGTTTTGTTCTACGACATAAAACACATCAGTTACAGCACACTCTTGAATTTTTAAATCGGTAATGCTTCTTTAAAAAGACGGTTGCTATCAAGTTGCTAATTGGGACTACAGGCGGTGTCAGAGACATTATACGTCATCGAGCTGATCTGGTCTGGAGCGCAGCTCGCTCGTGATGGGCAGTTGGATTTGTCTGTTAGGTATTTTCATGAATAGTATTTTATAGTTCATAGTATTTTTCTAATTGGGAATTCAGATTTTGTGCAGATAATTCCTTCACTTGTAACGGCTGTCGAGACAGATTCATTTGTTGATCATTTATTTTAATAAACAATATTATGAAGATACTGCAGTGCAGCCTGTCTCTTTC